GGCTTAAAAAGACACCTAATGTCAATCTCTGACATCCATGCACATGTGCGCATGCACCTGCAGATACACACATATACATCACACACACAGGAAAAAAAAAATTAACAAGGATAATTCAATGGGGAAAATTATTTAATGGTCAGTTTACAAAAAGAACTTAATCAATTAGATCCAGCAACATGGTTCAGTGAATGAAGCAGCTAGTCATACAAGCCTAGGGAGCTAGCTAAGTTTGGTCCCTAAAAACCACCTCTCTGAGAAGCACTGTGCTATGCACACATACCCCAAACCATTAAATACTGTAATAAAAAACAAAGTAAAGAAATAAAAACATGCCATACCTGAAAACAACATAATCAGCTAAGACTCAGGGACAGAGCACTTGCCTAGTATACACAAAGAGCTTGGGTTCACTCTACAGCTCTGTGAAAATGAACAAGTGAGTCAATCTACTTTTTAAGCCACCATTTGTCATCTATCTGCTTCAAACCCTTCAACTGTATCACTTTCATCTCTAAAGATAAAACTACCCAGGTCATTCCACTAACACCTCATACATTCTCTCTGCTTGCTCCAAGAAAGGGACTCTTGCTCACCCATCAGACAACACCAGGACCACCTCCTGTAAATGGCCTAATGCCTTAAATGCATAGAGCTGTAGATCCTCACAGATCCTCAGGTAGAATTTTGGGATTCCTTGACTCCTCTACCAGTGGTCAAACATCCAATGCCATCAGCAAACCCCACAGGCTATTATCTCAAAATAAAGCTTCCATCAATCATCTGAGTCCAAACTCCATCATCCTCTCCTGAATTCAGGCCTCCCTTGCCTCCTTAAAACCCTATTGCTAATCCAGCAACCAAAGCAAAGTGGGCTTGTGTTTGTGGTTTTTGTTAACTCGGTGGATTGTTGGTTTTTCAGTTTTAAGGCAGGTTCTCACTCGGTAGCCCAGGCCCGCCTCAAAATTTGTGACAATCCTTCTGCTTCAGCCTCCTAGTACTGGATTACAGGCTTGAGCCACCATGCCCAGCACTTTTGGTTATGTCCAATCATCTCACTCTTCTGCTTAAAACCTTTTCAGTGGTTTCCCATAGTGAAAAGGACTGACTCACTTGCTCATTTTCACAGAGCTGGACCCACAGTGAAAGCCAATCTTTAAAATGTTTCTGTGGCCCTACAAAATCTGCCCTCTCCCCACCCTCCCTGTGATCTCACACACGACTACTCTCATCCCTCACCCTCTTAACATCATTCCGATCACAATGGCCTCTTCAAATATGTCAGGTATGTTCCCTCAAAGCTTTTGCTTCATGGCTAATTCCACTTCCTCCTTTAGGTCTCTGCACAAATTTTACCTCTCTTGAACGTCTGTATCAGAGTATCACTATTACAACCATTTCATTTAAAATCAACCCCAAGGCTAGCAAGAAGGCTTAACAGTTAAGATCATTTGTTACTCTTGCAGACAACCCAGGATCAGTTCTTAGCATCCACACCAGGTAGTTCAAACTGTCTGTAACTCTTGCTCTTGAGACTCTTAACACCTTCTTCTGGCTTCTGGGCACTTAAACACACATGCACCTACCCGACCCCAAAAACACATATACACATAAGTAGTAAAAATAAATAAATAAAACTATCCTAATGCTTCCTTGGACCCTGCTCTTCTGTTTTACAGAGCACTTATTGATTAAGAATCTATATAACCTGTGTATGTTCAGTACCTGTTCTCCCTTCATTGAGCAGGACTATTTAATACCTGTCATGTTCACCGATGGATTATAATTGCCAGAACTGTGCCTAGCAAGTAGTACACATTAGTAATAGTTGAATAAATGGTTTTACACCATCTGTGGAACGGTCTAATTAATGACTAAATGACTACCTAGGAACAGAGACTGGGTCTGGTTTGGTTTATCTCCATATTCTTAGAAACTAAGGGTTGGCATAGCCCAGGTACCTAAGTGCTAATTGAACAATACCTCAGATCTGGTGGGAATGCCTGTAATCCCAGCATTTAGGATATGAAGTAGGACTAATGTTAGTTTGAGATGAACCAAAACTACACAGTGAATCCATGACTAACTTGAGCTACCTAGCAAGAGTGTCTGAGAAAGAAAGAGACAGACGGGACAGACAGAAACAACAAAATAGCCTTTAAAAAAAAAAAAAAATACTATCAGAAGACAAATTTAAAACAGACACCCATAAACTTTTAATGGAAAATCTACCTTCTCATATACCTTGACAGGTATGTAAATTGATACTTTTTTTTTTTTTTTAGCTTAAGCTAACAGCAGCTTTAACATTTAAATTCACCAGAATGTGTCCTTTAACTCAGTAGTCTCATAGATATAAAATCAAGAGTACTAGTGGTGCAGGCCTGCAATTCCAGTTACTAAGGAGGCTGAGGCTGGAGGATCTCAAGTTCAAGGTCTGCCACGTTAGAATGAGGCCTTGTCTCAAAAGTTAAAAGAAACTAGAGCTGCAGTTCAGTAATATAGTGCTTGCTCAGCACGCAAAAAGTCCTGGATTCAAATCCCAATAGAAAAAAAGTACATCATTTTAACATTGCTTATAAAATAAAGAGATTAGCAACCAACCAGCCCACCAGTGGGAACACAGCCAGGCAGAGTGTCTCACGCCTATAGTCCCAATACTCCAGAGGAAAAAGCAGGAGATCACCATGAATTGGAGGCCAGCTAGACTAGAGTGGGACCCTGTCTCAATAATAAAAATAAGTGTTGGAGAGATGGTTGAATGCTTAAGAGCACTGATTGCTCTTCCAGAGGACCTGGATTCAATCCCCAGCACCCACATGGTGGCTCATGACCACCTGTAACTCCAGTTCCAGGGATCTAATCCCCTCTTCAGACATACATGCAGGCAAAATACAAGTACACATAAAACAAGTAATAATAAAAAAATCATTAAAATAATAATGAAGAAAAACAAGCAAATCCATCATTCATGCCACACACATGATGGAATAGACTTTTAATAAGAACAAGGCAGAGCTATAAACAGACAAAGGTCCTTGTGATCTAGTAAACAAACCAGAGGGTCCTGGCATCAGATGCTGTGTTTGAATCCTGACTCTAATGTACTGTCACTCCAGCATGTTTAATCCCCCTCACTGATGTGAAGATTCCTTGAGATAGCACCACTTTCAGTGGTTATGGCA